GGGGGGGATGTAGTCAGATCCCTGCGGGGCCCGGGGATCAGGCGGCACCTGCATGCATCCGCTTTGAACCGAGTCCTGGGAAGGAAACCTCCGCGGGAGACCACGTTGTCGTCGCTGCCCCTGTGCTTATTGTAAACGCGAGCACCCCGGCCCATGCTTGTTCACCGACAGAGCCCTCCTGTGGGTTCAGTGTGGCCCCGTAGAGCCCCTGGCTGGGTTTAGTCGCGATGGTGAGAGGAGATGGGCCCCCAACACCAGCTCTCGAGTCCAGCAGTGTTTGCAGAGGAGAACAGGGCAGCGAGCCTGGGGCATCACCTGAGATGCACCTGCCATGGAGGCGTGGAGTGGTTCTAGGCCTGACTTTGTCGTTGACCTAGCGCAGCTGACGCCGGGCTCTGGGCCAGAGCTGCGTGGGGAACTTGAGATGCTGGCCTGTCCCCAGTGCCTTGGGATCTGGGACAGCTCTGAGGGTGGCAAGAGGTAAATTCCAGAGCGAACGCGGGAGGGCTTCCTTCGGGGAGTGTGCGTTCAGAAGGCAGAGAAGCGCTGATTCGCTCAAGGCCGGAGCACCTGCATTCGTGAGTGGTCACACCCACGTTTGTAAGTCAACACATTGATACTAAGAGTTAACATCGCAGAGCCAGTCACGGCAGGTGGAGACCCAAGGCCCCGGGCCTGTGTCTGGTGCAGGGCTGCGCCCCGGGGCCCATCTCTGCAGCAGCCCAGCCTCCCCCGGGGCTCACGGTGTCTGTGGGAGAAAGCTGGGCCACATCAGGAAGAGCCTCACTTACGGGGCCTGAGAGGTGTGTTGCCTCTGTCCGGAAGTGCTCGTGAAGGACGGGGATACCAGTTTTGGTGGCTCGGTTGGTGCAGGTGGAGCACAGCACAAGGGAGGTTGGCGGGGAACCGGGCAGCGCCTCCCGCGCCCGGGTCTGTAGCCTGTGGGCACCTGGATTCTGAGAGGGGTCCTGGGAAATCCCTCAAAACTGTGGCGGTGTTGTCCTGGGGACGTTTGTAATCTTCCGCTTTTAATAACTTAAACGTTTCTACCCCTTTGTCTTGAATGGATTTGCCAGAAACGAAGGGAAGGTTTTCCTGTGAATTTTTTCCACTCTGTTCATTTTTTCCCTTTGGAATGAGGACCACTTTGAAACATTTGTAGGCTGAACGTGTAAATGATGAAAGTGAATATGTGAGTTAATTACAGACGCAAATAAACACAGTGCGTAAACACTTTTCCCAGAAATGCTGGTCAGTCAGGCTGCTGGGAAGGAGGTGTCCAGGAAGGCGAGTTAAGGCCCCACAGCTCCAGGTGCTGCAAGCCTCCGGGCTGGGGTCCCCGCGCCAGGACAGAAGTCCCCCGCGGGGGACCAGGTGTTCCTTGTGCTTTCAGAGCCTGAGCCTGCCGGGTCTGTCTTTACAGTAACGAGCTGAGCATGAAGACGGATTCCCGCTTGAACTTGTTGGACGATGGGACCCTGATGATCCAGAACACGCGGGAGACAGACCAGGGCATCTACCAGTGCATGGCAAAAAACGTGGCCGGAGAGGTAAAGACGCAGGAGGTGACCCTCAGGTACTTCGGGTCTCCAGGTACGTTGAGTGCTCTCTCAGACACTTAGAGCCCACCTTCCTCCCGGTCCACTCCCTTCTTTGTTTGCACCAAGGTCTCCCATTTAAGCTGCTGCGGCAGGGTCGGCTCAGGGTCATAGGTGACCCCCGAACATTGCCCTGGTCCACCATCAACCCCTAATCCTGGACGGTCACTCAGAGTGGACAGTAGAGACAGGCGCTGCTGGGGCCTGGACACCTGGGCAGACACGTGCCCCGTACCCCGACACCTCCCACTCATGCTGGTCCCAGGGGCTTCTCTCACTTGTTGCCATTTGGCAGTGGGATCTCTCTTGTGCTAAGGGCTTTGGTTCTTTTAAAAGAAGCCAGAAATCTGAATTTTTATGCAGAATTCCCAGGTCTAAAATATTGGCACCTGAAGTGAAAAGATTGTTTGAGCCAAAGGCAACAGGGCTGTGGCCTTGATTGGCCCGGGTCCCACCGGGTTACAGACCCCGCCCTTGTCGAAGTGTTGACTTTTGGATCCTTGGTCAGAAGAGGAGCTGTGGCCCTTGGAGCAGAGCCCAGGGTGGGCCTGTTCCCCTGTGGCTGCTGGAAGAGCACAGGTGGCTAGGCCGCCTCCGTGGGCCTGTGTCATTGTCGTGTA